GATGTATACCACGATCAAATATCGTTATTTACTGTTTCCCTTAACCTCGCCTGGTTAACTAGTTCACTAGTTACTAGCCGGTCCTAAGCCCGCGTGAACAGGGAAGGTTCAGAATACGGCTAGCAACCCTACCCCGGAAAACAAATACATCAACCAAAGAAACATCAAAGCACAAACGATATATAAACAATAATAACAAAATTATTCCTCACTGGAATCCGAGAGGCGAAATGATGCCGGTTGGTGAAAGCCTTCAGGAAGCCAATAAACCCATGTGTCTTCTCTTCTCTCGATGAAAGCGAAAATAAACGTGGGGACATGGGAAAGGTAGAGGACTCTCCAAACTGTCAACTGGAGAATTAATAATCTACCCCGATGTTGTCACACACACACACGACAACCACGAGCACACTGAGTTTTGGAGTGGCTATCATGATGTCCCCATCACAAGGACATCGAAGGCTCTCTCTCATGCAGTGGGAATCAATCTACTCCTCCACGATCAGGATCATGACAGCAAGCTTCAACTCAAAAGGAAGGAAGGTCACAATCATACAATGCTACGCTTCGCACCTACAAATAATGCAGAGCAAGAGAAGAAGGAGGAATTCTACAGACAACTGCTATCAACACTAGACAAGACCCCATACCAGTTGGCGATATCAAAATTCTAATTGGTGGGGTGACATGAATGCCAAACTGCGAGGAGTGGACAACACAGGAAGAGAACTAACCATGGGTAGAGAAGCACTCTGTGAGGTGATGAACGAGAATGGATAATTGTTTGCAGAATTCTGTGCATTCAACGATTTGGTGATTAGAGGTGAGGTAGTGTGTTCAAGCACAAGGACATCCACAAAGCCACATGGATGTCACCAGACACCAGATGGACACACTACACTAAAAATCAGATCGACTTCATCTCAATCTCAAGAAAGTGGAGACGCAGACAGCCTACTTGACACAAGGTCAAGAATAGGAGCAGATGTAGATTCAGACCACTCACACCACTATCTAGTGCAAGGAACCTGCCTTCCAAATCAAGTTGAAAGCCTTCAAGGAAGTTGGTGATAGACCTCAATTCAAGTACAACACTCGGAAACTGAAGGATGAAACTACAAAGTAGATCTTCACGGCAGCCATCAAGACAAAATGGGAGATATCGAGGAACATACATGAAGAAACCTGTGTGGAAGAACACTGGAAGTCTTTGAAAGAGATGTGGAAAGAAACCTGCACAACCGTATTAGGAAGGAAGAATGAGGAAGATAAGGAATGGATCTCGATGGACACATGGAAGCTGATGGAGCAGGGAGAGGGAGATGGTGAAGCAGAAGATAAACCAGTGCAAGGATGCTCAGCGACATGAGGAACTGAGCACAATGTATAAAACATTGGAGAAAGAAGTGAAGAAGAGTGCATGCAAAGACAAAAGACACTTCTACGAAATACTGGCAAGTGAAGCAGAACAGGCTGCAGGCTGCATTTAGGAGAGACCTGACAACATTGTATCAAATAACCAGGTTACTATCTGGGAGGGAAGAGATCAACGCAGACAAAACCAATAAAAGATGATGAAGGAAGTATAATTATCAAAAAAGGAAATAAAAGAAACAATGGGCCGACCACTTCAAGAAGAGCTTGAATAGACCACCACCTGCAGCACAGTCACAGAACTACAAGTGAACATAAATCCTCCAACAAAAGTAAAAGTCCTGAACGCCATAAAGCTACTGAAATGTGGGAAAACAGCAGGACCAGATGTAATCCCGCCAGAAGCACTGAGAACAGACACAGAGACAACAGCGGACATGCTCACACCACATCACTATTGCAGAAGGTGTGGAACGAACGGAAGGTACCTGCTGATTGATTGGAAGAAGGGTTACCTTGTCAAACTCCCGAAGAAGGGAGACCTGAGTGTTTACAAGAACGGGCGCAGAATCACTCTCCTGTCCCTGTCCATCCCAAGCTAACTATTAGGCCGCATCATCCTGGAGAGGCTAAAGCATGCAATGCATTCTAAACTACGACCCGAACAGGCAGGTTTCAGGAAGTACAAATCATGTGCAGACCAAATTGCAACGCTACACTACACATCATCATACAACGGAGTACAGAATGGCAGTCAACTCTCTACCTCAACTTCATCGACTTCCAGAAGGCCTTTGACAGAGTCGACCGAGAGGTAATTTCGAAACTGCTTCATTACTACGGAATACCACAAACCTTTATCAGCCTCATTCAACAACTATATGAAGACGCCACATGCCAGCCAAGTAATTAACAATGGGAAGCTCAGCTCAGTGATGCTTTTGAAGTGAAGACAGATAGGAGTAAAACAGGGCTGTCTACTATCACCCATGATATTCCTGATTATGGTCGACTGGACTGGATCATGCAACAGGCCGTGAGAAACGAGAAGAGGGGGATACGCTGGCTGGACCGCCGCAAAAGCCTAGAAGACTTGGGTTTCGCCGATGACTTGTGTCTGATGTCACACAAACTTGAAGATCTACAGGCGAAAACTAACAAGTTGACAGTAGTGGCAGGGCAGCGAAGGAAGATGGGACTTCAAGTGAATACAGAGAAAACAGA